AAATATATAAATTCTATAGGTATAATATATTTTTCCTTGAATTCCGTTCATTTCGATAGCTTTTGTCCCTTCTACTTCTAAACTCAATCACTAACCAGATTAGTGACTCAATGTAATGTCACAAATTGATAATTGGAACACATAGATCTTATGGAAACTATATATATTAGTAGAGTCTACATAAGTACCTGCCAACTGAACACTTGTAAATACATATTGCTATTGCTCGATCCTTAGGAAGAGAATTTCGCCTAACATCTATTCTCTTCATCTCTCCGACTTCCGGCAGCCAAAATGACGCAGCAGGGACCCGCCTTCGACTCGAATGCGATGACGCTGACACGCTTCGTGCTCCAGGAACAGCGCAAGTTCAAGGAAGCGACTGGAGATCTGTCCCAGCTGCTGAATTGCATACAGACAGCCATCAAGGCGACTGCATCCGCAGTGCGGAAGGCTGGCATAGCCAAGCTGCACGGAATCGCTGGCGATGTCAATGTTCAGGGAGAGGAGGTAAAGAAGTTGGATGTGCTGTCGAATGAGCTGTTCATCAACATGCTCAAGTCGTCCTACACCACGTGCCTTATGGTCTCCGAGGAGAACGAGAATGTGATCGAGGTGGAAACGGAACGACAGGTAAGTGAGATACATTTCTCTAGGGGATCTAATAACTTGATCGCATTCGTTTACAGGGAAAATATATAGTTTGCTTCGATCCGCTGGACGGTTCCTCCAATATTGACTGTCTCGTCTCGATCGGCTCCATTTTCGCCATTTATCGGAAGAGGAGTACGGGAGTGCCCACCGTCCAGGATGCACTGCAGCCGGGCAACCAGCTCGTTGCTGCCGGATATGCACTCTACGGCTCTGCGACAGCCATTGTCCTGGGTCTGGGCAGCAGTGTGAACGGCTTCACCTACGATCCGGCCATTGGCGAGTTCATTCTGACCGATCCCAATATGCGTGTGCCCAACAAGGGCAAGATCTATTCGATCAATGAGGGCTATGCCTCCGACTGGGATCAGGGCGTTTACAACTACATTGCTGCAAAGAAGGATCCCGCCAAAGGCAAGCCATACGGCGCTCGCTACGTCGGCTCGATGGTGGCCGATGTGCACCGCACTATCAAATACGGCGGCATCTTCATCTATCCGGCTACCAAGTCGTCGCCCAATGGCAAGCTCCGTCTGCTCTATGAGTGCAATCCCATGGCTTATCTCATGATCCTGGCTGGCGGTCTGGCCAGCAATGGCAAGATCAGCATACTGGATATTGTTCCACAGAAAATTCACGAGCGCAGCCCCATCTTCCTGGGCTCCAAAGCTGATGTGGAGGAGGCGCTTAGCTACTTGAAATGATTCTCGTTTTTTTTTATGTGTCTGAATAAATGTTTTTGAAACCTTGTGTTCGAAGCAAATACAGGGAATTGGATGGGCTATGCTACATGCCAAATGAGATTGAAAAATCTTCAAAGCAAAGCTGATGTAAAAGTATAAAGCAGGATGTTAGTATACAACTTTGTATAGAAGTAAACTTAAATTAAGCCAAAGTCAATCTCTTGAGTTTTGTATACATGTTGGGGTTGGAAGTACGTTGTGTTGAGAATATTACAGAGTATGGCTAGCCAGAACTCTCTTAAAGTTATAAATTTTCGTAACTTTATCGATAGACTCAAATTCATATTCATAACCGGAAGACTCGTGATATTCAGCAATTGTTACAAACCACAGTTCAAATAGTCGATCGATGTTCCACAAATTCTTCTTCTTATATTAACAAACCCCATACTATGAGGAATAAGTTTCGTGCAACCAGTTATATCAGTGAACATCTCATGATTACATTAAAGTCAATCCTATTCATCTAAAATTGTAAATAGAGTCATTTTACATGGTATAGCTAAACGCTTTATTACATAACGTAACACATATGTATGTACATATTATAATACGAGTAGCAAACATTATTAGTTAACAACTGATGGGGAATTCCTTATGACTAAGCCAGGAGAAAATCACACTTGGGCTTCGCAATAATTATTCTTAGAAAGCATTCGCCTTGTGCTTGGGCACAAAGCTAAATCCGTGAGGTACCGGGCCGAGCAGCATTTCACTGAGGCGCACCCAGTCAGAGGCGTTGCCGGAGCTCATCAGTGTCTCCATTTCATCGCGTCCGCGATACTTTTGTGGCCTGGCATTGATTTTCTGTGGCGGCGACAGCTGCAGCTCCTCTGGTATGTAGCGGTAAAGGAACGATTGCCATTCGAGCAGAAAGCGTCGAGTGCTCTCCACGCCCTTAGTATCAGAGCCCCAGTGTTCCAGTCCGTAGTTGCAATAGCGCCGCATCATTTCGAACCGCTGCGTAGAGCTGGGTGAGCATGCTTTTTGCTCTTTGATCTCCTGGAAGATCCAAGGCTTGATTAACGCACCGCGTCCTATCATGACAGAGCTAACATGCGGAGCCAAAGCTCGTCGCTCTACGTAGTCCTCATAGCTCAGAATGTCGCCATTCCCAATCACGGGTATATGCTTTGCTTGCTTGGCGCACTCCTCAATGTACGTCCAGTTGGCTTGGCGCGTGTATCGCTGCTCCCTCGAACGTCCGTGCAAGGTAACAGCCGAGGCGCCCCATTCCTCCACCAGAGGCAGCAGCTCGTGGGCCACACTCTTGTCCGCATAGACCCCTGTGCGCATTTTCACAGTGAAAGGCAGCCGATCGGACAGCGCCGAGCAGCTGCGCACAGTCAGTTCCAGGATATTGGTGCGGCGCATCAGTGCACTGCCTCCGCCCTGTTGGTAGATGAGGTCAATGGGACAGCCTATATTAAGATCAATGAAGTCCACCCGCGATGTTTCGTGCAACACTTGCGCCGCCTGGCTAATCACATTCGGGTTGTTGCCACACAGCTGCACGCCAAACACGTTCTCGCTCTCATGACGCTTGGTCAGCGCCCATTCCTGCCCGAGACCCTTGAGCAGCGGGACAGCGCATGCCATCTCCCCACAGGTGATGTCTGCCCCGAACTCCTTGCAGATGCGACGAAATGGCAAATTGCCCACTGTGGTCAGCGGGGAGAGCAACAGCTTCTCTCGAAAATCGATGACAGGCTTTCGTTGCGCATCGCGTCCATGTGTTGTTTCATCTATAGCACTGCCAATGGGCTTGTTCGCCAATGACTGGTTCTCTGTTGATTCCTCGTTTTCTATAGGTGCTGCATCCTGCTGCTGGCATTCTTTCCCGCTCTTCTGTTCCTCTTTATCTTTGTCCTGCACCTCCTCCTCTTGCTGCTGCTGATCTTTCTTCCTTTCATCTCTGCGCTTCTCCGCCTTCTTGATCAACTCTTTGCTGCGACTAAAGTCGTAGTCGTGCTTGCGTAGACGTACCTGCAGTTCTGATTAAACAATATACCACCATTTACATCTTCACTTCAATTACACTTTACCTGAATTGATGCCATTGTACGTAGTCTGCGCAGCTTTTTCATCGTAATTTGGCCTCTTCATATTTCGTCCGTTTTCATCTGTGTGGGCTTTGGCAAAACGGCATGTTATGCCACGTGCACAATATCCCTTGGTGTCATACACGTAGCACTGCTCACCCAAATCCTCACCTTTGGCTGCTATAAATGCGTCCAGATCATGCACATAACGGCAATTCGGCACAGTGCAGGGCTCACCACCAGCGCCATCTATCAGCGAGTGGCACAAATGCGAGTAGCGCTCATCTTTGAACACGGGTCGATTCTAATGGAAAACTCTTTTATACAACAATAACTAAATGTGAAATAAATGTTTACTTTATTCTGGCCACGTTTGCGCTCTTTTTTGCCACTTCCACGCTTGCTCTGTGGCTCGTTTGTCGTTTCCTCGTTATCTAGGTGTTTTCTTTTGTTTGTTTCTCCATCAGTGGATGCATTAACTTCCCAGTTGTGGGCACCATTAGCTTCGGCTAACAAATACCTAATTTAATAAAAAAATCTAACTTTTATTTTTTAGACTTCAAAATGCACACAGGTATCACTTACTCCGGCTTAATGTAGCAAATCCCCGGTTCCATTTCACACACGCGTGAGTGTTCTAAAAATGAAATATAAGAAATACTTTAGTACCAATTAGAGATGTGCCAATTGCGTTACTGTTGTTCAACGAAAACAACAACAAGCAAACATGTGCTCAATCAGCTGTTTTTATCGATGACGTTCAGGAAAATGTATCGCTTCCAGTTGCTGCTCAACAAGTTAAATGCTATTTTTATTTAATACACAATACATAATTAAATGAAAATGTAATTTGATTGTCTGTGTGAACAAACTATTGCAATTATTGTAACTTATACCAGCATACTGCTACTGTTACCAGCATACTAGTCCACAGTTACTGATCAGCTGTTCGCGATGGTGCAACTGTTTAAGTTCCTGCTGAAATCCACAAAAACGGTTTGTAATAAAATATTAAATTAAAATGAAATTAATAATTTCTTGTACAGCCTGCGCGTGCACATTTTCGTTGCAACTTCTTGGACACTTTGCGTCTGACGGTACGCGGCGGACATGGTGGAAATGGCTTACCCAAATATGGAGGAGTTGGTGGGCAGGGCGGCTGCGTCTACTTCGTGGCTAAGGAGGGACTAACATTGCGGAAAGTGGCACAAAATATAAGAGAAAAGCGCGTTCAGGCGTCTAATGGCGAGGACAGCAGCAAAGTGAGCATATATGGAAAACGCGGCATGGACCAAAGAATAGAGGTGCCACTGGGAGTTCAGGTGTACGATGAGCAACAGCAGAAATTGCTTGCGGACCTCAACGAACCCGATTCCAGCTGCATTGTGGCGGGCGGAGGCACAGGCGGCTGCGTAGGAAACAATTTCATCGGTCGGCCAGGAGAAAGTCGCACGGTGCAGCTAGATCTCAAGTTGATTGCAGACGTGGGTTTGGTTGGGTTTCCCAATGCAGGCAAGAGCACACTGCTGAAGGCTATATCTAATGCGAAATCCAAGATAGCAGCGTATCCATGTATGCATTGATGTTCCTCAGTTTCAATTACTAAATCATTTGCTTCTCTTTGCAGTCACCACGATTCGGCCACAGGTCGGAACCGTGGAGTACGCTGACCTACGTTCCATAACTATTGCCGATCTTCCTGGTCTGATAGAAGGGGCACATGCCAACTTTGGCATGGGTCACAAGTTCCTGAAGCACATCGAGCGCACTCGCCTGCTGCTCTTCATGGTGGATATTTTCGGCTTTCAGCTGAGTCCGCGCCACGCACATCGCGACTGCCTGAGCAATATTTATGCACTAAACAAGGAGCTGGAGCTATACGATCCTGAATTGTTAGAGAAACCCTGCGTGTTGCTGATCAACAAAATGGACAAGGAAGGTGCTCAGGAGTTGCTATTAAATCTAAAGCCATGTCTTACAGACTTGAACAGCAGCCTATCCGCCTGTCCCGGTGAACTGCGTCCAAATAGAGTGATTAGATTTAAGCATATTTTACCTATATCTGCTAAAAACTCAGGGCGCATTATTCAAGTAAAGCAAAAGCTGCGTGGAACCCTCGATGAACTGGCGGAAGAGCAACTGGTCACAGACTCTAAAGTGCTCAAAGAGCAGTTGAAGCAACGAGTGGGCGTTATAGGTCCCAAAATAACATAATGAAAGCCAACTTTGTAGTTTTACCCCAAAAAAATAAAAATAGAGAAAAAAAAAATCATTTTTATTGTTTCTACTCGTGAAAAATTCTAATCGTATAAAATATCTATATAATACTGAAATTATATATTTTGTACGGGATCTGCGACGATACCTACCTACTGATCGATAACAATATTATTTTGTTAATGAGATCCATAATTATAAAGTTAATAATTCAAATAAACGGTGAATAAACCTATAACTTTGTAGCGATTTTTATTCATTTCGATAGCACGATAGAAAACATCGAAGATTACTGCGCCACCTAGCGATTATCACATCACTACGGTAACCACACGACACACACACTTGCAAATATACGCACATGCATGCACGCAGGAGTTTGTTGTGTCGCGTCGCGCTAAATCTACGAAACGAACGAAAAAATGTTAAAAATTCTGTGCTTGCGCTCAATGTAATTTCCAATTGGCGATCAATCCCTAAATAGTGAAAAATATGTCCAATTGGCTTGAGATCGACTTAATTGTGAATAAATATAATTGACATTTCGATACATACACAAACACATACATGCAAACATCTCTGCGAAGGGGGCAGAACACTGAAAAACTGGTATATAAAAGACGACGCCAAATGAAAAAGACAGCGCGCGCGAGCGAGAGAGATAAAACAGTAGTAGTATACTTCGGGTATTATTTTTTACTAATAGCCAATTGCATTGGTAAAACGAAAATTTGCCCAAAATCAACGACACGACATTATCTCTAACGTAATGTCACAACACAATAATCAACCGCATTCGCATTCGCATCAGCATCAACAACAACATCTCCACTACTATCAGCAGCAGCAGCAACATCAGCTACAGCAACAACAGCAACAACACCAGCAGCATCAGCATTTACAACATAAACAAATACAGCAGCACAGTTGGTACTCACATGTTGCTTCCTACCCGCCCCAACAGCCGCACCCGTATGCGACACCCTGCAAGAGCGGCAACAACAACAACAATAACATTATGAATGCATACGGAGCGGGTGGGACGCACTATTACGGGGCTGCTACTGCTACTGCTGCTGCGGGGGTGGGATATAACCTTGAAGCTAATACTGTGGCCTATGCGCACAACCAGCTGCTGCAATACCAGCAAGAACAACAACAACAGCAGCAACATCAACAACAGCAGCAACATCAACAACAGCACACCAGTCAACGCTCGTATATGCCGCACAGCATAATGCACAGCTCCTATCCATATATTAAGAGCGAGCCATTGGAGCTGCCCGACGAAAGACAACGCCATCAACAACATCAAACGCACCAGCAGCAGCAGCCGCAGCATCAACAGCAACAGCAGCACCTACAACAACATTTTCAAAATCCAATGGCACCGCCGCCAGCACCCGCCTCCAATCGCCACACGCTTGATGCTAGCGGCGAAATGATAATAAAATGTAAGTATCGAGCTTTAGGGATATCGATATCCACATACGCACACAGCCATGCAAATATACTAGCTGTAATAAGCCATTGGTTCTAGATTGGGGCATAGAGATGAGATCATATTTGATATTTATGTCATGACACGAAATATTTAGAGTCAATTTTAATTGAATATAATTAGATATTGTAGCTTTAATTTTTATCTTTAGAAACATTGATTATTGAATCGATTTTTATTATCAATAATATTATCAACTACTAATTAAGAAGTAAAGTATAGGTTTCAAAAGAAAAATTGATTTTCTTATTGCAATTTTGATTATTGTGACAATCTCATCAATCAATTCGGCTACGAAAAGATGAATTCAATATAAGAGTCATTCGTGCCGCGCAAATTATTGGAATCGTGTTTCGTGCTCGTAAATATGCATACCACCATATCTAATTGCTACGGACGCACTCATATAGTCAGAGCGTAACAACAACAAGACTGAGAGTGTAAGTGATTGAGTGCGAATGAGAGAGAGGGAGAGAGAGTGCGCTCCCAGTTACTGTTACTTGGGCGCCCATATATTTTGTCGTATAGCGTAAGTAGCAGTAATTTCAGCTCCGCTTTTGGCGTCGCCGAATCAATAAAGCGTTTGGTTACAGAGTTGAGTTACGCTGAGACTTTTAGCGGTTGTTTCGGTCGGTTGTTTTTCGGTAGGTTCGCTAGGTTTTCAATTTTCGGTTTTGTTTTGTCCGCCTCCGTATCTGTACCTTTGTTTCGGAGTGCTTTAGTCGTTTTTTGCTCTGTGTATGTATCTACATATCTAGTCGATATATATTTTAGGCACCTACAATATATACATATACCATCGTCACATAAGCTCAGCTGAATAGATACGTCAAATTACCGGGTATAATCCTAATGATTATGTACCCTGTCTCCAATCCGACATTAATAGACTTTATATTGGTTATGTGTGCTTTAATGTATGTATATTTGTTAATTCACACTTTTAAGTCTCGAATCTTATGTAACTCTTAGGTTCTCAAATATTTTATAACCTATGAACACATAACTGCCTAATAGGGCGGGGTCTCAAGAATAAATAAAAATGTTAATCCATTTTTTGTACAATTTTGTTAAAAACATTTCTGGAAAACTAAGAAATATTTTCTCATATGTGTATAGATTTGTGTGTAGGAAAGAAAAAAGAAAAATTCCCTCTTCTGTTATCTCTACATTCATGCTTATCAAAGAAGAGAGAGCAATTGAAACAAACTAACAAAATGAATGCACACGTAAAACCATAGAAACTGAAACTTTTCTAGAATATACTTTTACATACAAAGTGTAAATATTCATTACATACACATGCATATTCACGAAGGCAAACATACGTGCATACATACATATGTAAATTTTCCGTGGTTAAATGAAGAAATCTTATTAACTCCATTTTTATTATAAATCAATTTTGTATTAACTTTTATTAAATTCAGTGATGCAAATTTTTGTTGTTGTGCAATTCATTTAGCATATGTTTGACTATTTTTAGCAATATATGCTATATATGAATTATACAATATGAAAAAATTCTCCAAGACATTTCTCTGTGAGTTCATATTGAATTTTTCAATCCTAATTGATCATACTCCCCTCCCACCATATTCTTATTTTTTCCAAGATAAAAAAAAAAAAAAAAATTGAATATAGTAATAATATTAAATATAATTACATATAGATATATATGGAGAAATTAGAAATTATTATAATTTTTCCATTTGCAATTTTGAACATAAGATTTGTGCCGATAAACTTGTAAAAATAGATTTCTAAAATTAAAATAAATTTCATTAAAGCCCAACAAAGTCAGCAGAGTGAAATTAGTTTGATAAAGAACTGAGATAATAAATGTATTCAATAAATAAAAAAAAAAAATTGTTTATATCAATTTGGTTTTTGGCAGCGGAGCCCATTGACGAACATGCGTTCAAGTCCAACTATATTGATGATAATACGCCCTTTGCCGATTTTAGTAAATTTCCCGAATTCGGCGACGAAATGCTGAGTCCAAAGATGGAGCTAACTGTAAAAGATGATGCCTATGGCAACCAAAAGGTGAGCTGTAAAAGAATAAAAATATATATTATTATATAATTTTCTTTTGTATTGTAGAATCCGCTCAGCTTTCCTCGCCGAAAGCTGCAAACGGAACGTTCCTCGGAGAGCCTGCCCATCTGCCAACGCTGCAAGGAGGTGTTCTTTAAGAAACAAATCTATTTGCGGCATGTGGCCGAGAGCAGTTGCACGATCCAAGAGTACGACTACAAGTGCAATATCTGTCCCATGTCCTTCATGGGCGCCGAGGATATACAGAAGCACAAGCAACTGCACCGCGCTGACAAGTTCTTCTGTCACAAATACTGTGGCAAGTACTTTGACAATATTGCCGATTGCGAGTCGCATGAGTACATGGAACACGACTACGACAGCTTTGTTTGCAATGTAAGAAGGGAGAAACCCATCATTTCTATACGAGGAAGCCTACACTAGTTATAATTTATCATTTGCAGATGTGCTCAATGACATTTCCTACGCGCGAACAGCTTTACGCCCATTTGCCGCAGCACAAGTTTCAGCAGCGCTTCGATTGCCCGATTTGCCGCTTATGGTATCAAACCGCGCTCGAGTTGCACGAGCATCGCCTAGCGGCCCCATACTTTTGCGGCAAGTACTATGCAGCAGCACATCAGCAACAGCAGCTGTCGGAGCAGAGCAACTACAAACTGCAGGATTGCCACATGGGTACGATAGAGAGTAAGTCTTGGTTTCTCCGACTGCTTTGCGCTTATAGTAATGTTCTTGCTCTGCAGTGACTGCGTCTCAGCATAAAGCAAATGCGTTGCCTGCCACGGCGGCGCTTAGTTCCTTGCTACATCAGCGTCAAGCGAATGCTGATGGTGGCGCCTCCCTCTTTAACTCTTCCTTGAAGAACGAGCCGAGTGTTAAGCTGGAGCGAAGCTACAGCAACTCGACCAGCGAGTCCGGATATAGCATGCACGACAACAGCGGCTACAACAATGCATATGGGAGCGACAACTCGCTGCATGCGAGCGGCGTTGCAATCGGTGGACCGCAGGCACATTCCTCCACGCTGGATGAATCGGAAGATGCGCTGTGCTGCGTGCCATTGTGTGGAGTGCGCAAAAGCACCAGCCCAACTCTGCAGTTCTTCACGTTTCCCAAGGACGAGAAGTATCTGCATCAATGGCTGCACAATCTCAAAATGTTTCACATACCTGCGTCGAGCTATGCCAGTTTTCGCATTTGTAGCATGCATTTCCCGAAGCGTTGTATAAATCGCTATTCGCTGTGCTATTGGGCAGTGCCCACGTTCAACCTGGGCCACGACGATGTCGCAAATTTGTATCAGAATCGAGAGTTGACCAACACATTTACCACCGGAGAGGTGGCTCGGTGCAGCATGCCCAATTGCACGAGCCAGCGTGGCGAAAGTAATCTCAAGTTTTACAATTTTCCGAAAGACATCAAGAGTCTGATCAAATGGTGCCAGAACGCACGTCTGCCCGTCCAGGCCAAAGAGCCGCGTCACTTCTGCAGTCGGCACTTCGAGGAGCGTTGCATTGGCAAATTCCGACTGAAACCCTGGGCTGTACCTACGCTCCATTTGGGAGCTCAGTATGGCAAGATTCATGACAATCCGAAGAATCTGTATGTTGAGGAGAAACGTTGCTGCCTGAACTTTTGTCGCCGCAGTCGCTCCTCGGACTTCAATATGTCGCTTTACCGGTTCCCCAGAGATGAGGTATTGCTGCGTCGCTGGTGCTATAACTTGAGACTCGACCCGGCAGTGTATCGTGGAAAAAATCACAAAATTTGCAGTGCTCACTTTATTAAGGAAGCCCTCGGGTTACGGAAATTGTCGCCAGGTAAGCAATTAATTAATAAATTATTTATATACTAAAAATCTCAGTTTACCTTTGAGTGAATTAATTCGTTTTACAACATGAGCGTTTTACAACATGAGCAAATTGAGTACTAATTCTAGAAAACGAATGGTACAAATATTGAATGCAATGACATGGTCCGTTTATCATCCAGAATCGCTTTAATAATATATGTTATATGAATATGTTTACTATCTGAAAATTGATATTCAATGACTTGTTGAATATTCTTTATACTCGTAGCCTTTATATTTAAATTTGCATTTAAATTAATACATTTACATTTACATTTGCATTTACATTTACAGGCGCTGTGCCAACTCTACACCTGGGCCACAATGACACCTTCAACATCTACGAAAATGAACTGTGGCCTCCTCCCACGGCCTCGACGCCCACCCATCATAATCATCATCAGCAACAACAGCTGCAACAACACCACATGCAGCAGCATCAACAGCAGCTGCCGCAGCAGCAGGTTCATCACAAATATCAGAGGCACTCTGCTGCGTCCACTTCCTCGTCGGCCAGCTCTACATCCCACTATGTAGATCCGGAGCTAAGTGCCTCCTACATGGCCATGGGCATGGGCTCTGGCAACTCATCCTCTGGGCTGAATGTGAGCGACAGCATGGACGTCTGCTGTGTGCCCAGCTGCGAAAGCAAGCGACACAACAATGAGAACATCACATTCCATACGATACCTAGGCGCCCGGAGCAGATGCGCAAATGGTGTCACAATCTGCGTATACCCGAGGACAAGATGCACAAGGGCATGCGCATATGCAGCCTGCATTTTGAGCCCTATTGCATTGGCGGCTGCATGCGTCCGTTCGCGGTGCCAACGCTGCATTTGGGCCACGACGAAGAGGACATTCATCGCAATCCGGATGTAATCAAGAAGCTGAACATACGCGAGACCTGTTGCGTGGCAGTGTGCAAACGCAATCGGGATCGGGACCACGCCAATCTGCATCGTTTTCCCAGCAATGTGGCGCTGCTAACCAAATGGTGTGCCAATTTGCAGCGCACTGTTCCGGATGGGATCAAACTCTTCAACGATGCTATTTGCGAGGTTCATTTCGAGGAACGGTGCTTACGTAATAAGCGGCTAGAGAAGTGGGCAGTGCCCACTCTTATGCTCGGCCACGATAACATTCCCTATCCTCTTCCCACTCCAGAGCAGGTGGCCGAGTTCTATGCTCGACCAAGTGCTCCAAACAATGGCGAAGAACAGGGTGAATGCTGTGTGGAGACCTGTAAGCGCAATCCCAGCGTGGATGACATCAAGCTCTATCGACCGCCGGAGGAGTCCCAAGTGCTGACCAAATGGGCGCATAATCTGCAGATAGACATCGCTCAGCTGCCTTCCATGCGGATCTGCAATCTACACTTCGAAGCTCACTGCATAGGCAAGCGAATGCGTCCGTGGGCCATACCCACGCTCAATCTTGCCACTAATGTAGAGAATCTCTTTGAGAACCCCGAGCAGCAGATGCTGTACAAGCGCCGCACCTCCCATCTTAGCGTGCAAAGAGAAGGAAGTGGTGGAAGCATTACCAAGCCCACCTGGGTGCCACGCTGCTGTCTGCCCCACTGCCGCAAGGTGCGCGCTTTGCACAACGTCCAGCTATATCGGTTTCCCAAACTCAATCGCGCCACGTTGGCAAAGTGGGCGCACAATCTGCAAGTTCCGATGGTTGGAAGTGCTCAGAGACGTCTGTGCTCCGCGCACTTTGAGCCTCATGTCCTTAGCAAGAAGTGCCCAGTGCCGCTAGCGGTGCCTACGCTCGATCTCAATACTCCACCAGGCTACAAGATTTACCAGAACCCAGCCAAGATCAAAGCAAACAAGCTGTGCATGCAACGCGTCTGCATTGTGGAGAGCTGTCGTCGGCAGCGTGGTCAGGGTGTCCAGCTCTTCCGGCTGCCCCACAACCCCACCCAGCTGCGCAAGTGGATGCACAACATACGCATGCGACCGCGCGGTGCCATGCGACAACAGTACCGCATCTGCTCGCGGCACTTTGAGACGCACTCGTTCAATGGCAAGCGCTTGAGTACTGGCGCCATTCCGACTCTCGAGCTGGGCCATCAGGACGACGACATCTATCCGAATGAGGCGCAGTCGTTTGTCGAGGAGCACTGCGCTATCGAGGGCTGTAACGCCTCCAAGGATCAGCCGGATGTGCGGCTCTTCCGGTTCCCCAACGACGACGAGGATCTGCTGTGGAAGTGGTGCAACAATCTGAAGATGAATCCAATTGATTGCATTGGCATGCGCATCTGCAACAGGCACTTCGAGCCCGATTGTATTGGTTCCAAGCATCTCTACAAGTGGGCCATTCCCACGCTGATGCTTGGACACGACGATGTCCAGATTGAGCTGATATCCAATCCGAAGCCGGAAGCTCGTTACGTAGACCCAGTGTTTAAGTGCTGCGTTCCCACCTGTGGCAAGACTCGCAAATTCGATGAGGTGCAGATGAATAGCTTTCCCAAGGATCCGGTCCTCTTCGAGCGCTGGCGCCACAATCTCCGACTCGACCATCTCAATTTCAAGGAGCGCGAGCGCTATAAGATTTGTAATGCTCATTTTGAAGACATATGCATCGGCAAGACGCGTCTCAATCTAGGCTCCATACCTACACTGGAGTTGGGACACGACGAGACGGAAGACCTGTACCGTGTGAATCCCGATGAGCTGCAGAGCAATATGTTTGGACGGCACCAGCGCGTGGGTATTAAACAGGGGGAGCACTTTACTAGACAGGTGAGTAGCTCAGCGCACTTTGTGTATTCAATTTATTACCAAATATATATATTTCTCCAGGTGAAGTTCAAGCGATCCACGCCCCAGCTCACGTGCTGTGTTCGCAGCTGTCCACGCAACAAATGGGTAGAAAGCGGAGCTCGTTTGTTTCCCTTTCCCACGGGCAAGCAACAGCAGAACAAGTGGCGTCATAATCTCCGACTAAAAGCTGGCGAAGTGGATAGGACGACACGTGTTTGCAGCGCCCATTTCAATCGCCGCTGCATTGATGGCAAACAGCTAAGAGGATGGGCCATGCCCACACTGCAGCTGGGCCACCAGGAGACGAACATTTATGAGAATCCAAAGAACATCCCGGGCTTCTTTACTCCCACCTGTGCGTTGGCCCATTGTCGCAAAAGGCGGAGCATTGACAATGATTTGCGCACCTATCGCTATCCGCGCAATGAGGAGCTGCTTGAGAAGTGGCGTGTGAATCTCCGCCTCGCACCAGATCAATGTCGCGGTCGCATATGTGCGGATCATTTTGAACCCATGGTGCGTGGAAAGCTAAAGCTAAAGACGGGGGCAGTGCCGACGCTGAAGCTGGGCCACGATGAGGGCGTAGTCTTCGACAACGAGGCTATTAAGGCAGGCCTGCAGCAGCAGGAGGAGGAAGAGGAGCATGAAGGTGGAGAGGTGGCGAACAGCTTGGACTCGCTTGTTAGGGTGAAGAACGAGCTAAATGAAGAGGATCAGTCAATGGCAAACGACGAGCAGACAGAAGAACAGGATGATGATGACGAGGAGCAGACGAATCATCAATCAGAAGAAGAGGAGCAGCAAGAGCATGGCTACTTTGATCCCTTGGAGCTTGTAGAGACTTTTGCAGAGCAGCACAGCGAAGATGAACAGCTCTACAATAACGAAGATGACGAGGTTGATGACAACATGGAAGAGGAGGATATACCCGGCAACGATGATGAGCTGTTGCTCCCCGATACTCTACCTATTCAAATAGCTCTTCCTCCGAGACGTCAAAAGAGAACTGTGAATAATGTGACGCCCATATGCTGCCTTAAGCACTGCCGTAAGGAGCGTACTGCTACCCATCAGCTAAGCACCTTCGGCTTTCCCAAGGATCCGCAGCAACTGTTCAAATGGAGTGCAAACCTGCAAATAGATATAGACGATTGTGTTGGGCGCGTTTGCATTGAGCACTTCGAGGCGGAGATGTTAGGCACGCGCAAGCTGAAGCAAAACGCTGTGCCCACCTTGAATTTGGGCCATGATACACCCCTTAGCTATCGTTGCAATGGCCAAGCTGCGGACATCCATGATGCGCAATCACAGCAGCATTCGGTTTTTCGGCTTTGGAGCCTGAAACACTGTCGCAAAAGGAAAGATTTGTTCACGACGCCAACGACGCCAACGACGCCAACGACGCCAACGACGCCAACGACGACAACGACGCCAACGACGCCAACGACGACAGCGACGCCAACGACGACAGCGACGCCAACGACGCCAACGACGACAGCGTCGCCAACGACACCGGCGACGCCAGCGACGACAACGACGCCAGCGACGACAACGATGCTAGCGACGACAACGATGCCAATGACGCCAGCGGTGACAACGACGACGACGACAATGCCGGAAAAGTCGCCAACGACAACGACGACGACACTGACGGAAGCGTTCCCAACGACAACGACGATGACGACGACGACGACAGCAAATCTAGCAGCGATGACGACTAAGCGCGTGTGCTGCGTGTCCAGTTGTGGAAAGGAATGGCAGCTGCATGCCGCTAACCTGCGACGCATGCCAAGAGATCGTTTGTTGCTGCGCAAGTGGCTGCACAATTTAAAGCTGCCTACCAATTTGAACCACAACCAGACGTATGTGTGCGAGGATCATTTCGAGGATCAGGCAGTGTTGCCCACCTTGCGCCTAGGCCATACGGATAGTAACATTTATCGTAGCCACAACTCAATCAATGGCATTGGCTGCCTGGTGCCCAGCTGTCCATGTGCTCGCCTCTCTCGTGGCTACCCCCTGCCCGAGCATCCCCAAGTGCGAGAGGCGTGGCTGCAGTGGCTGCAATTACCGCCTCGTTCTCCACAAACGTCGAGCCACGAGCAGCTGTGCATCATGCACTACATGCAGCTGTTCGAGCAGGTGCCGTTGCCGGAGCAGTTACCTGAGATAGTGCTGTGCGAGCTAAGGGAAACGTACGAGCTCATCGCCACATCCACCATTGCCATGGAGCTGCGCTGTTCAGTGCCCGGCTGCCAAACCAAATTCACAGACAAAGTGCATCTCACCAGGCTTCCAACATGCCAACGTACCCGCGCCAAGTGGCTGCACAATACGAAAATTGACTACGATCCGGATCGCGAGCGCTCCTATCGCATCTGCTTACGGCACTTCGAGCCCCATACCCTGGGCGCAGTGCGTCCTAGGCTAGGAGCGGTGCCTACACTGCACCTCAACCACAACGACCCGGATATTTATAAGAATCTCAAGCTGGAAGACAACGCTGATGGCGCACTAACCCAGCAAGGTGTGCCTCTTGAAATGCCGCTACGAATCAAGACGGAGCTACCGCTTTACCTCTCCGTCAGTCCGACGGCCAGCGCGAGCGGAAGTCCAAGTCCTCGGGGTAAGCTGCGCACCTGTTGCATTGCCAGCTGTGGCCAGCAGGAGAACGCACTCACCCATCTGTTTCGCTTTCCCACTATCGAGACTGCGCTGCGCAAGTGGCTGGTGAACACGCAGCAGCAGCCGCGTCTCGTGGATACACAGCATCTGTTTGTGTGCCAGGAACACTTCGAGCCAGACGCCATTTACAAGAGGCAGTTGCGCAGCTGGGCGGTGCCGACGCTGAAGCTGGGTCACGATGGTCATATCATACCCAATGCTCGGCACAATGGCAACATTGCTGACAACAAGGAGGATAGGCAGGCGCTGCAGTACATCTATGCGAACTTCTGCTCCGTTCTCACCTGCTTTCAGCAGCGCAGCGACCAGCTGCGCCTCTTTGCTTACCCTACGGATCGGCCCACCCTGCGCCGATGGGCTGCCAATTGCAAGCATCGTTCCATGCAGGCCAGCAGCGATGGATTTCAGGTAGGAGCAGATCTCAGCCTATATACGCATATATTCCTGTCTTGTCGAGTCAATATGCCTATATTAGTCTTTCAGACAGCTTGAGTTTGTGTAGGCAAAAATCTGACGGATCTTATGTTTTGCAGGTGTGCCAGTCTCATTTCGCGGACGACTGCTTCGACCCTGAATCTGGGCAACTGAAGGAGGATGCTGTGCCCACTCTCGAACTGAGCCGACCCATCTACGAGATGCGCTGCTTAGTCAATGGCTGCGTTATGGAGGAGGGTGCAAAGCGTCCTCGCCTATTTAAAATACCAAAGCGGACACATCAGATGGAGGATTGGTGTCATAACTTGCGCATTGATGCGGCGTCTTTGGTGGGCCAGGAGCCGCATGTCTGTGAACGGCACTTCGAGGCGCACTGCTTCAATGCGGACAATCTGTTACGCCAAGCTGCACGACCCACACTTCATTTGGGCCACGATGACCTGCTAGATGTGCTGCCCAATCCGGCCAGCTGGGAGGAGGAAGCCCACGTATGCGTTGTGCCCAGCTGTGGACGCTCGAAGGATGCGGATAACGTGCAGTTATTCGGGCTGCCAAAGTCGAAGTTTCTAGTGGAGAAATGGCTGCAGAATTTCCGCCTCGATCCTAACAAGGTTCCAGTGAAAGGCCGTCGCATATGCAGCGTGCACTTCGAGCCCAGCTGCATAGACAGTGACCGTCTACGTGTAGGTGCCATGCCTACACTCCACTTGGGACACGCTGAGACAGATAACATACACGAAAGCATCAAAGAGCTGCCAATGTCGGCTCGGTCCCGGCGTTTTCGTATCCACTGCGACTGTTGCTACCCAGATTGCGTGGAACTGCAAAAGGGCTTTCAGAAAATTACCTACGATTTGCCACAAGGGCTGGCACTGCGTGAAACATGGCTGTCGTATCTGGGATTAGAGGAACTCGATCAGCAGCAGCCGCTCAAACTCTGCCCGCTGCACTTGATTATGCTGTACGAGGAGTTCCCTGAATCGGCGGAGGAGGAACTGCTCACATCCAGCTACGAAGCTGCTCGCAACAGTGTGCGCATTCGCATCGCCAGCTGCGCTGTGCGTGGCTGCAGGACTCTAAGGCCTAGAGATGAGCATTGCCTGCACTTGTCGCCCACGCGCCGTGATGTGCTCGAGCTGTGGCTGGACAACATGCGGATACCTTACAATGATAATGAGCGTTACAAGTTTCGGGTGTGCGGCAGGCACTTCGAGTCCAATTGCCTAGTGGAGAAGGCGCGACGACTAAAGTCCTGGAGTGTGCCTACGTTGGAGTTGCCAGAGCCACCAGTGCATCAGAATCCTACGGAGGAGCAGTGGCAACGCATGAATGAGCAACTATCCGCACTGCAGGCATTGGAAGCCAGTGTTGAGCTGAATGATAAGCAGAAGCAAAGGGAAATGCGGAATATAAAATATGCGATGCATAAGCACGAAATACTGGAGCAGGAGGACGACCAGGGGCAGGAGGACGAGCAGGAACAGGAAGAGTCGCAAATCAAACTGGAATCACAGCTCAAGCAGGAGCCTCTATCTGTGTACGAAGATGACTATTATGAAGAGCAGCCGCAAGAGATGCAGGAGCTGGAGGTGCTACTCGAGGTGGGGCACGTAGAGAAGTGCACCACCTATGAGCAGATGGACACAGAGCCCTCCATAAGTTATGCCGAACAGCCGTCGCATAATCCTTCAGGTCCGTCACATCCACTAGGTAGCGGAGCAGTAAACGGCAATAGCTCTCGCTACAGCGCGAGGCATTGCAGCGTGCGAGGTTGCAGTGTGACGGTGCTGGATGTGGACGGCAATCTGAAGTTGCACAAGTTTCCCACATCGATAGATGCTATGGAGAAGTGGATGCACAATACCCAGGTGAATGTAGACATCAACTTTGCGTGGCGCTTTCGCATTTGCAGCTATCATTTTGTCCCTGAGTGCTTCAATGGATCGCGCATTAGACGTGGAGCCATGCCCACGTTGCGTTTGGGGTCCCGCCGTCCTGCGCGTATCTATGATAACGAATTCAATGTTCAGCAGGAACCGACGGAAGCGAATGCAGTGGAAGAGCAGTCTCTACTGCCTGTTGGGGACTCCACGCTTGACATAAAATTGCGCCTGCCCTGTCCCGCTCCGCCTCGCAAATCCAGCAAGTTCTGTCAGATCGACGGCTGCTCGAATCATCTGACCAGTGAAAATTTAACACTTCACAAGTTCCCACACTCGGCGGACATGTGCGCCAAGTGGCAGCACAACACGCAGGTGCCCTTCGATCCAGAGTACCGTTGGCGCTATCGCATCTGCAGCGCACACTTTGAACCCATCTGCCTGGGCAACATGCGACTGATGCAAGGCAGTGTGCCCACCCTGAAGCTGGGGCCCCGCGCACCTAAGCAGCTCTTTGACAATGACTTTTTGGTCATTGGCTTGCGCTCGGATAAGGATATGCATAGCGAACAAAACTTCACTGTAAAGCATGAGCAAGCGCAGCCATTCGAGGAGGATGATTCGGTGCAGGCACAGGAGCAGGAGGCGGAACAGGAACAGGACTTAAGTATGCTAGAGCCACAACTCCAATTGCATGAAGGTCAGGAAGAGGTGGAGCATGAGGACAATTATTTGAACTGCAATAACAATTGGAATGAGCGCAGCATTAAGCAGGAGAAGTGCAGCGACAACAGCTACTATAATCCGGTCAAGTCGGGCTATGACAAGTGCTCCCTAATCCATTGTCAGCGCCAGCGCTCACAGCATGGCGTGCACATCTATAAATTTCCACGTTCCCGCCAGCTTCAGCAACACTGGATGCACAATTTGCGTATCCGATACGACGAACGGCGACCATGGAAGACCATGATATGCAGCGCGCACTTTGAGCCGCGATGCATACGACTAAGAAAGCTCCGTCCCTGGGCAGTGCCTACCTTGGACCTGGGCGAAAATGTGCCGGAGCAACTCTACACGAACGAGCAAAGCCAGCAGCAGATGGAGGTGGGTAGCGAAGGTGAGGCAGACGGCTATGATTATGATGTGGACGATACTATGTTGGAGGATTACAACGATGATTACGAAGACAATGGGTCGGAGCAGCTGCCTGCGGAACCACAGCTCAAACGAGAGCGTCCTTCACGCTGCGATCCCTGCCCTCCTGGCCAGTTGCAGCCATGGAAAATAAAACAATGCTGTTTGCCCCACTGTCGCAGGCCACGAGGCGATGGCATCAAACTCTTCCGACTGCCCAACAACATTGGCGCCATACGTAAATGGGAGCAGGCGACAGGCATGCGCTTTATTCCATCGCAGCGCAACACTAAGCTCATCTGTAGCCGTCATTTTGATCCGCAACTGATTGGCGTTCGTCGCCTTTTCACCAATGCCGTGCCAACAAGGAATCTTGGTCCAAATATTAAAGAGCCGGAGCTGCCTGAGTTGCCGGAATGTACTCCACGCTGTTGCATCACTGACTGCGAACACAATGGATTAGTCAAGCTGCATAAGTTTCCAAGTGGTAAGCCGTAGAGAAAGCATTCTGTATAATTTTTTTAATCAGATTCTTATTTTGTCACAGATCCTTTGCTGCTTCATCAATGGTGCCAAGCCCTAGATTTGCCGGAGGTACAACGCTACTCTGGTAAACACATTTGTGCAGTCCATCTACCTGCGAAGGCATTCAGTTGCCTCATTTGTGGCGTTGAGGATGTGCAGCTGCCCATGCAAGACTTCCCCGATAACCGCAATCAGCGAGTCAAGTGGTGCTATAATCTTAAAATCGAACCCATTGCCAAGTGGGACAATACGAAACACATCTGCTCTAAACACTTTGAGAGTTATTGTTTCATAGAGCCGGGTCGTCTGCTCCCGGACGCAATGCCTACATTGCATTTGACGCACAATGATAACAACATATTTCTCAACGAGTATGCTATGAACAATCCTAAGATGCTCTGCATCAAGGATGAGCCCCTAGAAAGTGACGATTTGATGCTATAACAGTAGCACTCTAAGCCGAAAGTATCGTATTGATTTTTAGTAAATTATGTGAGACACAAACAATACTGATAAACACGGCCAGCTGTGTCGATAAAGTTAGCTCCGGCTGCATAAGCCTTTGATTTTGGCAACTGTTTTGATAGCCAAACTATGGCTTTGCATTACATCAATATGCCATTGCTATCTCTTTTATACTTATAAAAACTATACTTCGAAATGTGGTCAAGGAAGATTGCTGTCAAATTTTGCAGGTTCAGCCAAACCGCATTTCTTGAATATTTGACTTTTGGAATAATTTGGCTACAATCCGAACGGTGCTCGTCACGGAATTCAGGATGTTTATCTAATATATGTTTGGAGTAGGAGTGTCACGTCCCAATGTCTATAAGCCATTTCATTTGAAATTAGTGTTAGTCTCAAATAATTTAAAAATATTTAATATATATACATTTAATCACTAAGTATCTCTAAGTATTTATGAAAGAAGTACCACGTCTACCCAAACTAATCTTAAGTAGAAACCAAACGCCCTTTCCACTCCTATTCGTAATGTAACGGATTAGCTAATCTATATATACATATATATATATGTTTTACATATATAATATAGTTGTCTAATTAATTAGTAATCGAGTGATTTTATAAACCTTATGGCCATATGATTTAACTTTTACGTAGACACAAAATGTTCCTTGTTTAGTATTTGATTTTTTAAATTGTTTTACTGTTAGTGTAGTATTATTATCATAAGTAGATCACAGCTCCTCATACCCTAAAGGCTAAAAGATAACTGTGTGGGATATGTCCTTAAATATCAAATGTTAGTATTGACCATTGGAAATGATCAACACCTACTATTTCTCCGTATTGTAAGACTCTGCTGGCAGCTAAAACTGAACTATTTCCATGAGGATTGCATCAAACAATATGACTATCGACCTATCGTACTCTTTTTAATATCAAATAAGCATATATATAAATATATATATGTAAACCTGTAGCATATACAAAAGTACTTGGTGTCTTATAAAATATACATAATAAATAAAACTCTTATATTACTAAGAAATTACACTTGGTTTTGACCTTATATATAGAGCAAGGTAGGAAAAAAGTTAAAAGTACGTCTTAAAATATACTTATATTAAATGCTGAAGATGTAAGAAATGAGTGTCTCGTGAAATGGGTGCCCGCAGACGGACGTTTGGATAGACCTATTCCCAAGTCACTGGTTGAATATGCGGATAGTTTAAATATCCGAAAATAATGCGAACATAATTAGGAGAAAACAAAAAAAAATATTTAATTCAGACTACCCTCTTAAAACATTAAATCTTAAGTTTAAATAAATAAAACACCCATAAGATAGGATGCTACTGCTTCCCCGATTCACTGGCATCCTCGCTTTGCATATAGCTGCTGTCCAAAAACAAATTGCGATCCGATTTGTTTGACTGGGTGAAAAAGATAAGAAAGTCAAATATGCACATATATGATGTCTTCCATAAGAGTAAGACACCGACTCACCTCGCGATATTTTTGCAAATAAATGGAGAGAGGCTCTACGTAGTTATCGAAGCCCAAATTGCTGAATGCCACTAGCAAATCGTCTCCATTCACCGTTTTTCGATTTTCTGCGACACTGCGCTCGATGGCCTCGCTGCTGATAAAGGATATGAACTCGGAGACACATTCCTGTATACACTCTCTGGCATCCTTGGCTATTTTGCCATTCTGCGGCACGGGCACCTTCATTATTTTTATGATATTGCAAATGGGCAAAAATCGATCCTGTTCACGCAACATGATGCCGTGTCCATCGTGTCTGTCTGATTCGTCTGCAACACCATAAAATTATTAAGCGATTTATAGCCGTTCGATTGACAGGTTACCTCCTGATGCCTCATCCTCTTCTTTGACCATCATATCATTTAGATATTGTTGTGAGTCCTCGCTATTGCTCATCTTTATTTTTGTTTACGCTCGCAAATAATTATTACATTTATTTTCTGAATTTATATATCAATCTTTGTGAATGGGTTTCTTGTTGAGTAGTTCACTAATGTACATTAATAAATGCTAATTCCATTAATCTTCAAACAATTTTCAATTTACAAAACAAACAATTTGTCTGCTTATTGTTTTTTTCCCTTTTTTTCCTAGCAGTATTTCTCGTGCTGTTACAGTTCAGTGTACAAATCGTAGTGATGATAAACTATCGATATGAAGCTATCGCTAAGTCCACGCAATTCATATCGCAAGCCAAGCGTTGTCTATTCGATATTCTTTAAAAGAGCAGTCGATAGCAGCTACTGATCGCAGCGGTACTTTTTTTTGCGCACTTTTCCTACGCCATAAAGAGATGCAGGAACAAATTGTGATAAAAAAAGAGGAGCTTGATATTGATGATACCAAGATAAAGCTAGAGCTAGATGAAGATGCGCCCCAGTTGGAGTTGCCGTGTGGTAAATATTCTTGTCCGTTTTTCCATTTGCAATATGACATTGTATGGGTATGTATGTTAGTATGTGTGCGCATGGTTGTCATTTTACATGTGTTGTGGCTATTTTTACTACGCACTATACCGTTAGCTTTGTCGTAATTAGTGTATTTGTGTTAAATTTACTGATACTTTGCAGCGACCCGCTTTATTAAAATCATCGACGAGAAGCCTAATATGATAACGGTGCCGGTGCATGACTACAAATCCGAGGACGAGCTAAAGTTTATTGAGAGTCTCCGCACGGTCGATCAGCAGCAAAAGGCAAGCCCTAACCTTAGCATACCAACACATTCGAACATGTTTTTAAGTTCTCTCTACATTACAGTTATTTGTGACATCATCCTGTGAAAATGATGGCGCACTTGCATGCAACATTTGCAGTTATAGGTGTGAAAATCGTCTGGCGCTGGCCTCGCATCAGATCAACCACCAGTTAAATCGGCATTTTTGCTACTATGGCTGTGGAGTTTGGTGTGACATGTTGGAGGAAATACTGGAGCATGAATTTCGTCAGCATGCGGACGGTATAACTGGATCGAGCTGCAGGGTAATAACATATTGAAAATAAAATTATATTAATAACAGTGATAATAGTCAAAATAATATAATTAACGAAAACATTTCCTATGAATTGAAATGAAAATATACATACATATATCCTATCACTTTCCGCAGACCCAAAGCAGACAAATATGTATGTATTTGTGTTAGGTAATGCAGTTCTTTTTTCGATTATCATAATATATTGCAAAAATTAACTTTAGGTTAAATTCGGGATCGAAAGAAAGAATGGTTCGTTTATCTGTTGCTATGCCAATTTCTCTTCGGATTACGTACATAAATTATATTAACGATTATATAACGATTTATTTATCATTGAAAATATTGAAATTTTATAAATATGTAATTAATAGGATCACAAAAATGTATTACATTTCTGGTGCACACTTAACGATTGGGTCTTTAATGAAAAATATTTAAATTTTACTGAGTCAATTGCAAAAATTATTTAAAGTATTTGAGGAACGTAACCTTTGCAAGTTTATTTAATAACTATTAATTCTTTCAGATTTGTCTGTTGGAATGTAGCGATGCTGCCAGCTTGGCTAAGCACTTGGGCAGTCACTTTTTTGTTCGCCGCTTTGTTTGCGCGATATGTCGCAGGCACTTTGAGACGAATCCGGGTCTGCAGCTGCATTGGCAGCACAGCAAGGGGCTATGCGGGCAAGTGGAGTATGCAGATATGCATGGTAACGTGGGTCAACTAGTGGCGGTCAATAGGTTGGACACGAATTTCGACGTACAAATCAAAACAGAACCGCTAGATCCAGCACAGGAGCAAACAGAGCAGGACATAGATATGTCAGATGTTCTTATCAAAACAGAACCACAGATTAAAGAAGAAATAGAAGAAGAGTCAAAGTCTGACCGTGAGCCCAGCTGGGCAAGTGATAACAGTCTAGCAGGACAATTGCGCGGCAAATTGCGCCTGCCAGCCATAAAGAAACCTGTCAACGTGGAAACTGCTAATAAACAAAATAAATCTCCCGCCATACAACGTAAGCCTAAGTGTACAAGAAATATTTCACAACATTAAATTATAATTAATTCCTCATTTGCAGTTGTACCATCGGACCAATTGAAGCCCGTACAATTGCCCATCTCTGAGCCAAAGCTGTTGAATAATATTTTGAATGCAAGCAAAGGCACCATAAATCAACCTAAAGTCGTACAACCCGTAAAGAATAAGCCTCACATAGCAGGTAACATCTTGAAGGTGCTGCCAAGCAACTGTATGCTGTTCAAATTGCCTCCAAATACAAAAATCGTCAAGATATCGCCTACCTCGGGCAGCGTAAACACAAATAATTGCTCCACAGGCAGCAAAGTTGTAACACCGCCAAGTGCTCTGTCGATAAGTTCGGTTTCACAGCCGATCAATAGCTTAACCGTTGCAAAGGCACCTAGTGCAGTTGCATCACAAGCAGCAGGCACACAAAAGCCCACGTTGAATCGCAATGCCTATTTCAATGCATTAAGTTTGTTTGAGAGCCTGCCCGAATCTCGCAAGATCATCACTGAGTTCCAGAATCAAATACGCAGCATAGAGCAAACGCTTCCGATGCCCGGGAGTGTCCTGCAAATGCCAAAGAAAAACAATAAACTGGTGGTGCAAACGCAGTTGGAGGTGCTTAAGATGCCATTAACCAAGGCGAGCCACTCGAAAGTCCGCCAGTTGCGTTTCACCTATCCCAATCATCGTTTCCATTGGGAATGTCCAAAATGTGCACGCTGTTACGAACTCTATTTGGCATTCTGTAACCACTTGACGCAGGTGCATGGCATTGCGGAAGCTGAGTTTGAACAGATGGAGGTGGAAGTAAAAATGTACAAGAGTGAGTAAGAGTTGTTTTTTTTTTTCACTTTAAGGCTTTGAATAATAATTTATAATCTTGTAGGATCAAATGAGTCCAAGACTCCTGCGGATGCCGCAGCAGCAGAAGAAAAAGTAGTAGCAGCTGTGGAAGCATGTTCTTCTGCACCAGAAGCATCAACTCCAGTTGTCGTACCTGCTCCTCCTGGCGCTGTGGCTCCTGTTAACGACTCACCAGCAGTTACAACTGCCGTATCATGTCTAAAGCCAGCCGTAGCTTGTCTAAAGCCAGCTTCTGAAGATTCTTCTTCTCCACCCAACTCTGCTAAGTCAGCACGACCAGGACCCATTGTTCGCCCCGCTCAGTATCAATGCGACGATTGCGCCAAGTGCTTTACGACAGTGGGCGCCTTGCGAATTCATAAGATGATACACACCGGCGAGCTGCCGCATAAATGTAACTTCTGTGAGAAACGCTTCCGGACGCCCGGCCAGGTACGCGTCCATCAACGCAGGCACACGGGCGAGAAGCCATTTAAATGCAAGGTAAGGATGCTGTTGTATACAATGAAATATCTGTGGTTCTGTACAAGTAGAAGCTGACTTTTGAATATTGATAACAATATAGATTACAGCTAAGTAGTAGCGCGTATATTGGTCTAAGTCTATGATTTTCCTATCGTAATAATAAAACTGTTCGTTAACTGACATTTTACTATATCTTGCGATAATGTTCTTCTCTTGCAGGTCTGTTCGCTGGACTTCACGCATCGCGAGACGCTGATCTCGCATCTATCACGTCACATTGGTATGAAGCGCTACAAGTGCTATGGATGTGATAAGAACTTTGTAGTGGTTAGTGGCTTGCGCGCACATCGTCGGCTACGCCCGGATACGTGCGGCAAAGTTAAGTTCACAGCTCGTGCACACGGCCCACGTGTGCGTGTAATACGCGGCGAGGTCGTTTTCGAATCCCATCCCGAGCACAATGGTTATTTGCGCAGCGAGGATCCAATAAATATCATGTCCGAGATTAAGCAGGCCTCTGTTACTAACGAGACCGAGTCAAGTTAACGCATTACGATATTTCTGTTTCTATTGATTTCGCTTTAATTGTAATCTATATATTTTGAGCGTTGTAATTTTTTGTAGCGAAATCACAAAAATGTAATGTTTACCTACCCCAGATGAGGGTACTAAAATACTGTCACATGTCTTGGATGTGAAGCAAAACCCATTTTCAATAAAGTATTTATATACTTCATCTGCTAGCTCGACATGTCAGTTTGCATATAAGTCTAATTGTTAAGTTTGTTTACTATATTAAGTAATCTTCGCTGGCATCTGTTGTGTGTCGGCCGGATTCACAATTTGTATAAAAGAAACTATATTTTTTTTATTAAACTCAATTTACCGACACGGAACAAATATATTATATAGTTAACATAAGAGAAATAGTTTCGTTAAAGTTATTGTTTGATAACGCTTATATGGGTACGGGCTAGAAATCCTTCGAGCTAGGTGCTGGAATCTAACAACGCAACTAAACTAAAACATTGCAACAATGTTTAAATATATTATTACAATGCTGTGGATCATGTGTTCAGCCAACTGCGGCTCATTTTGTTGGAGCAACTGACCTCAAGTTGTCAATCAAATCCATAAGCGACATATTGAGCTACCTGAAAAATCGATTAAGATTCCAAAATTTGACAGGTAACTTACATTTTATGGAGCAAGGAAAACCAAACAATAAAAATATCAGTTGTTTTTCTTGAATTCTCCCGATTGTAACCCTCTCACTGGTTTTATGTAGGCTATACAGAATTTACCAGAGATTTTTTCTTTTTCCGTAATATATACCTTTATTTCGTCTTTTAATATTCATGTTCATTGGTTTCTCCACATCCGAAAATTATATATATATATATATAGTATATATCTGATACATATAGTCGTATGATAAGGTTTAACGTCATGTGTTTCTTACATAAGGGTTGGTTTGTATGCAATACAATCGCTTGACTCCAGATTGATTAGTTTTTAGGGCGTTTTTGTGTGTATCGTTAAAATTGTTTTATATCTGACTAATTGGTAAAATAATTGTATGCATGTATGTATATATTTTTTATATTAAACAATTTCATATAGTATTAACAAAACTTGACAAGCCGACCAATTTAATTTTCTTGTAATATACAATATAGATTTTTGGAATTCATTTATATAGAAGTACGCTAAATATGCTCGCAACGCTGTGGTGTAATAACCATTATCTATTAGACATCTATTGCTCCTAATTGTAAATGCTATAATTTGTATTTATTTTATTTCACTTTATATATAGTCCGAATATGCCCCAGTGCTTTAATTTTCTTTTCGGGTTCTGGCATTTCGCCAACTTGTCAATTTCCTAGTTCCTAACTCCAATTCTTTAGTGGGCAACGCGCTAAATTTTTTGTATAACAGTTTCTTATGAGAGTGTGTGGGTATTTATGTCTATAATGCATTATGCACAATGCGTATATATTTACGTGTATATATCTGTAGTGTACATACGTATTACTTCTATTGATCTTTAACATGTGGCTAAATAGTTGTCTAATATTTAATTTTGCTTTGCTTTTATGCATTGGCTTGCTAACATTATATATAAATATTTTCGGCCGACTGAGCAGCATATCAAATATGTATATACACTATAATAGTTCTTAGTTCATAATGCCATGCGGATGTAGATTTAGAGTAGGTTTAAATGGGTGCGATTTATATTAATATATAGACGTATTTTGCGATTTATATATGTTAAGTATTCTACAGTATATATCTACAGTTATCTTATTACTCGTCTACCCCTTTAATCGGCTGGGTGTATTCTCTATGCTGCCTTGTTCATATACGTTAGGTACCATAATTTCTAGCTGTAGGATCCTATTTACTTATACATATATAGCTGTAGGGTTTTGTGGTATATACAGGAATATAATTATAATAAAAATTTAAGACGGATGCACTTATGATTAGACTTGGGTAGGAATGTCAAATGGACTTCCAAAATAGAATTTATATAATTTAATAAAACGAAAAAAAAAAGAACACATTAATCAAGTACAAAGATCTAGGGGTTTGATCGTTACTATTTGAATAGCGCTCGTTAGCTAGATAGCTGCATATGGGGAATGTCACAAAGTAGAAAAGCTGCCCGCTAATTAAAGTTAATCTTTAAACTAATTTTAACTAGGCGTCCTAACAGATATGCACTACGCAAGACTTTTTACTAATTGCACGGTTTACATTTGCTTTTGCTTCATATAAATAGATTTATACAGGAATATATACTGAACCTAGGCGGACTTTATAAGTATGTCAAGTATAAAAACATATTAAACATATTTGATTGATTGTTGTACACACAGATACAGATACATGTAAATATATATACTATATGTATATATAATTGTTATGATAAATGGATTTTGGACTACATTGCTCTACCATCTGTTATAGCCGACCTTTAGCTTAGGTTGCTTTCATTTTTTTTTTCATTAGATTTATCTTTTCTTTTCTTGAGATTCGTTTATGCGGTAAGTTTTTAAAAGTTACCAAGTCCTTAGTTCAAATATGTATAGGTTAATCAGTGAGCGGGTCGCCCCGCCGCACCACAACAAGTTGATTGACTACTTTGATTAGTTCGAGCAAAAACTGTATGCACACACTTGATATACATACATATATATATATGTAGGTATAGGGATATATATGCATTTAAGTATAAATTACTGATAATTAAACTTGTAACAGTCTTCTTGAGTTTACATTTTATACCAAAATCAAAGACCGGGAGTGATAAGAGATGCTAAAAACTAATCAAAATAGGGATAATGAAATGGCTATTAAAATTTATATAAGCGAGGATAGCCTGGGAGCTTTTCCGATTTATCAATAACTCTCTATTCATTTAAATAACATTTTATTTTGCTACCCTTCCATCTTAAGATCGGCCTCAGACTACCCTCGTACTATGCATAGTATATAAGTAAGTAATTTGTGGGCAGTATCTGGCTATAATACTTTAAAGTTAAGGTATCCGTGTTTATCGTAAATGCGTATTTATGCGTACAATTGAAAACAACGAACATGCAACATTTAACATGAACATGGAGTTGACAATGTTTTTGCTCTGTAGCCCGGACTTCAACTCCAAATTCTGGTCATTTTTCTGCTACTGCTTCAGCTTCTGCTTAGCCTCTTCAGTTTGTATAGTTGTCGAACGAGCCCAAGTACTCCAAAGCAGCGCGATAGCAAAAATGATATTGATCCTGTAAAAGAGAAATTAGTTTCAGTCAACATATTTCCGAAATCGGCTACGCAGAGATAGAGCCTCGATCGTTGATCAATTTTGGGGCTACTCACTTCCGTCTGCACCATGGCTGGTCGCTGAGATCGCAAAATGCGCACCGTTTGGAACACATCGAGCACACCTTCGTATTGCATCCGCTCTAGCACAATACTGAGTGTGATAAAGACGCCCGTGCGGCCCACACCGGCAGAACAGTGGACCGTGATGGGTCCATCCTGCCCGAATTGCTCCTTGGTCTTGTGGACCTGTCCAATGAAATCGATGAAGCCCTCACCAGACTTTGGAACACCCTGCTCCGGCCAGTCTATGAACTGGAACTGGCGCACGGTGCGGGAAGAACCATCACGAGCATCGGTAACCTGAAGGGCAGAAGCGGACGGAGGTCGTATAGAGAGATGTATAGGAAGTATGAAATGGTATGACTCACCTTAAACTCTCGCAGTTTGTACTGCGGCATATTGTATTCGGCGATCGGATCCACAACATAATACTGATAGCGTACGGAGCGCTCGTGCGGCCAATATTGGAAGCACTTCTCCTGCAAAAGAGAATGCAGATTAGGCGATATTCAATAAATGTACAGCATGTTCAGCTTACCCTGCCCATTTCCTTGAGCTTGGTTAACATAACAACTATGGTGGAGTTGTGCTCCCAGAGCATGCGCCAGAAGTCCTCGGCGGTGTCCTGAACAGGTCCCTGAGCCGCAATATAGGCCGAACGATACCGGTAGCCATCGATGAAACTGGCATTGACATAGTCGCTGCCCTCAATTCCATGGATGGGAGTTAGATACACGCGACTCGATTCGTAGGGCAGAATGTGAACCAGACGATTCTTATGCTTGTTGCAGGCCAAGTTAGCGGTTACAAATTTGGAGGAGTCCATCTTGACATTCGACAGTTTCTTGAATTCCACCTCCATCCCCGAAATGCTCTCGCCCGGCTCGGTGGTTAGCAGCTTCTGCAAATGGCTATGCAAGTTGCGTGCGGCTACCTCTGTCGATCCACAGATTATGGCCTCCAGGATGGCATCGTGAATGAAGATATACTGGTCTTCCGTTTGCACCATGTAGTTGCGCTGGGCGCGCAAGCACGTTACATGGCCGTAGATGTCGATGATCTTCTCGTGCTTCATTCGTTCCAGCATTGAGTCAATGACAATGTAACAGCCAGTGCGACCCACACCCGCTGAGCAGTGAACCACAACTGGCCCGGATTCGGGTGGGGTGAGGGCGCGACAGCGACGCAGGAACTGCAGGAAGGGAGCAGGATGATCGGGCACACCGTGATCCGGCCAAGCCGTGAACTGCAGCTGCTTGATCTCGCGGCGATCATTGAAGCCCTGACGGCACAGCTGGAACGTGCGTATGCTGTAGGTGGCCAGCTCCTGGGTTTCGGTGATGGTGACAAAGATCTGACCGTAGGTCTCGGTGCCACGTGAGGGCCAATACTGATCGCACTTGATGCGTGTGCGCTCCTCCAGTCGGGTCATCATCACAATCGTCGCCGTCTTCAGCTCCCAGCACATGCGCCAGAAATCGGCGAAGGTCTCCTGCAACGGTCCCTGGGTGGCTACGTAGGCATTATGCTTGCGATAGCCGTCACAGTAGTTGGCATTGATGTAGTCCGAGCCGAGGACGCCCTCCTGGGCGGTCAACTGGACACGCGAATGGTCGTAGGCGGTGACGTTGGCATACCGGTTCTTGGACTTATTATGCTCGTAGTTGGAATTGTCCCAGGTGAATTGCTGGCCAGGCTCGATGCTCTCGTACTCCTGCGAGAATTTCTGATTGTCATTGGCCTTAAGTCGCTCAATGTGATTGGCAAACTCCGAGATGGGTATGGGCGGATGTGAGATCATGCCAGGCGTCTGGAAGTTTAGTCGGCGCATATCAACCGGATCGCTGGGCGTTGGACCAGCCCCCAAATCAGCGGCCATCAGAGGACGCGTAACAGCTGCCTGATCTGGGGTTTTGCAGGGCTGCCTGCGACGCCTAACCACATACAGCACGATCAGTGTGGTTGAGACAACAAAGGCGGTTATCAGG